AGAGAGAGAGAGAGAGAGAGGGAGGAATTAGACGGATCAAAGTGGAGAGGTTTACAGTGGAGGGGTAGAAAAAAATAAAATAAAAAGACGAAAAAACTTCGTGTCTAATAAAATCTACAGCCAGCAACATCTGGCTTACCTTTCTCTCTAGAAAATAAATAAAAGTGACGGATGTTTCTCTCCCCTCCCCCCGTCACTTCTGCATTTCATATGCGCCCGGAAATACCGTTTCTTCTCGCGTCTCTATCTTCTCTTCCTTTTTTTTTCAATCGCGTCTGACACAGCGTCGGGTCACTGAAAAAAAGAAAAAAAGAAAGAAAAAGAAGGAGGAAAGGAAGAAACGAAGAATTCTTACCACAAACTTGCCAGACGAGTCTCTCAGTTGCTATTACTCCTTTCGACCGAGCATGGTGAATCGAGGTATCGGAAGGACACTTAAAATAAATTTATCCGGCATCGACTCGGTCCAATGGGGTTCGTGCGAAACTTCGATTCGGTTGAACGAGCCGAGCTTCATCTCGGATTCAATCGCGCCTGAAAGTGAAGATTTTTGATTAGTCGAAATTTTCTACGAATGATTCTTTTCTTTTATTATTATTATTATTATTATTATTATTATTATTATTTTCTTAAAATCAACCGCCCTTTTACAGTTGGTTGTCGATTTACAATTTGTTCGAACACCCTTTTTTTTTTAGGGGATAAAAGTTCGAAGGGGAAAAGTTTTTGGGAGTAAAGTTGGGGGAAAGTGCAAAAGCAGAACTCGATGAAATTTTAGACACCGAGAAACGCGACAATCATTGCCACGGAGTGGGTAGCAGCAACTCTTTCGGACTATATTACGAGCCTAATTGACACCACTTTGCACTATGTAAAACGTCGAAACGGAACGGATTCAACTCCACGACAAAGTTTCAACAAGAACACCCCTCTCTTCAACCGCGAAACCTCGCAACTAAATTCTTCCCACAGCGTGTCATCTATATTTCATGAGTGACAGACAGACAGAAAGTGCGTATTCGTTTAATAAACTTTGCTTTTCGTTAACTATATTCTCTATTTTCCTTTTTTTATTCGTATTTCTCATTCCTTGAAAGACGATCAATTTCAAATGAATCCCTTTTAACGTGGTCACGATGTAAAAAGCGAGAATACGATTCTTTATAATGCGTAATAGCTTCGTGGATTCATAGTTTCATTGCTAGTGCATAAATCAGGAAACTTTGTAACTTTCGTTTCAAAAAAAAAAAAAGAGCTACTAGAAGGGTAATATTTTTAAATATTTTTAAATATTTTAAGAATTTTTATAATTTCTATATTTGACAATTAAATCCAAATAAAATCCATCATTGCTTCGCCTAAGAGAAACTAAAACTTTCGAAGCAATTTCCTTACCTTCATCCTCTCTTCCCCCTAAAATTTTCAATGATCTCTTTCGAATTGTCAACGACACTGATAAATCGCATCCAGTGCAAGCAGAATAAAAGAAGAAGAAGAAGAAGAAGAAAAAAGAAGGGAAAGGAGGTGGACTTTTCACTGTCATTCAACGAGAACGTCTATCGTTAGTAGAGCGTGACTACGTCGCTGAAGTGTCGAAAGGGGAAAAAGAATAAAGTCGTCGTG